AACGTTGGCAAAGTCTGCCTCAGTAAGATCACGCAGGGTTTCGACTGCAGTCTGCAGGATAATAACATGCTGCCATTTCTGCTTCGCGTTACAGTCACTCAATGACGAGATGGATGTTGACCAGCGAATGGCTTTGGTGGAGATGACCTCTTGCACTTGCTCGGCTGCAAGTGCGCAGTCGCCAAATTTGACAATAAGGATTTCGTCTTGGGATTTGTTATGGTGGCAGTGGATTCCATGTCCGTATCCATTGACGTGTTCAATGGCGTGTGGTTTGCTATGACCATTGGGTTGTTTTGTCTGGATCGCTTCTCCAGTAGTCACTTGTTCGACTTTACTCAAGGGCTTCCACTGCAGCTGATAGCATAGGTCCCGGGCCACCTTGTTATCGCATCCAGTATCGTTGATTGGGGTCATTACCAACCCCTCCATATTGATCAAAACCTCACTAGAGTCTGCAGGAGTCATCCATAAGTCGAACTTGGTAGGCTCAGGCCTGGCCCGGCCGGAACCTCCCATACATCTGGCCGGAAAGTGGTGACCGGTAGAAGGGAGGTTTCCATCAATGACAAGAGACTTTATGACGGTTGGCACGTACAGAGTCTCCAGGTCCATCCGACCCTTACCAAGAATGGGCCAGGTCAGGTGCAAAAGAGTGTCCAATAGAGTGGGGTGGATGACAACGGGAGCTTCGTAGTGTTTCGGCATGAGCGACTTGGTATCGCAAACATACAGGTCCGCACGCGAGTGATGAGGCCCGGAGAAGCAGTTTCGAAGGCCTTGAAATGCCATACCATAACCGGCGCCGACATCGCTTAGAACTTTGTACATGTTCTCGGTATCAATTTCATATGTCGCCGCCTCCAACACCTCACTACTCTTCTTCGCAAAAGCCCTCTCTGCCTTGTCGACAACGTCAACGACCGGGTTATGCTTCCGGTACTTCTTGTTGGGGCTAACCCTGACAAGACCCGTACAGTGGTCAATCCAGTGCCGCTTGGAGTTCCAAGAGCAAATGTGGAATTCGTCCCACGCATTTGAAACACCTCGCGTGCCTTCAGCGTAAGCCCGGAGGGTAATGGTGATCTCGGTATCGAGGTCGTCAGTCAAGACCAGGGCAGCACCCACGCTCACTTCGCGCAGTTCGAACTGCGACTCGGCGGCCACCGTACTATACTTCTGTGCACGCGTCCGAGCGGCCTCGATCGCCATACTGATGTAACCAGCAATTGGATACACAATCATACCCTGCATTCTATGGTCTCGGAGCCACGGTATGTCGTCGAGGCGGACAATATTCCTCCATGTTGGCTCCAGGTCATTGGAGTAGAATGCTTCGGTACCCAGTATGTCTTTTCTCTGTCCATCACGGAATCTATGCTTCTCGCTGATACGGCTATGGTGCCAGAAGACTGTGTCATGTTGCCACGGGTACCGAGGTAGATCATCGAGGACATTGCACGTTCCAGTGCCACTGAAGGGAAAGTTGATTTCGTTGATGTTGAGAGTTCCGCCACGTACATAAACGGCACCCGCAGCGTCGAGGAGAGATTGGGAAGGATCAACCTTCCGAACCACCGTCGGCACATATGCGACTTCAGAAGCAACCGATGACCCCAGGGCCTTTAATGTATCAAGAATTGGTCCCTTGAGAGCGGAATGGGGCCCAACCTCCACCATAAGGTTGGGTTTGCTCCCGACACCGCACATTTTGCCAAGAGCATTGGCAAAGAGCACTGGAGACGTCAAGTTCTGGACCCAATAGCTTGGGCTAAGGTCGGTAGGATCGCTTACATCGCCAACTACGGACGAAAAGAAGGTGGCAGTGGCGGCGCCCGAGGGCTGCACTGATGCGATGGCGGACAAATAGGCCTCGCTGACCTTTTTCATGTGATCAGAGTGGTAAGCCACATCAATGATGAGGCGGCGATTGAAAATCTTCTTCTCTTCGAGGATGCCCTGCAGCTCCTCAATAGCCGGTACATCACCAGATATGGTGACACTGGATGGACTGTTGACGCATGCCACAGTAGCATAACCAGAGTAGAGGGTCTTCAGCATTGGCTGGATGGCTTCCACGCTGGTCCCAACGGCCATCATGGTACCCTTCAGGTCTGGGTATTGGCTTTTTAACAACTCTGTCATTTGGCCACGGCGGTACGCAAGTGTCAGGGCGCCCTCTAGGTCAAAGATCCCGGCCGCATACGCCGCAGCAATTTCACCGGAACTATGGCCAACTACTGAGACCGGTTGAATTCCCCAGGAGCGAAGCAAGTCTACAAGGGCAATTTGCAGCGCAGTGCAGGCCGGTTGACTGATGTAGGGCATATTAACCCTTGAATTTGTATCAGTTTGCAGCAACTCCTCGCGGAGAGAAAATTCTGCGCCCAATCCTTCAGACAGGTGTTTGTCGGCGCGGTGGATCGCCGCTGCGAAAACGGGGAATTCATCCATGAGTGGCATACCCATCTGAGCCCACTGGGCTCCCTGACCTGTGAATACAAATGAAACAGAAGGTCCGTCACCGCCAATAGCGCGGACAGGGTTGATCTTCATCTGTGCCAGTTGGACACCGGCATCATCGAGTGATGTAGCGGACAGGGCAATTCGGTATGGCAGGTGAGACCGTTTGCTCCCAACTGTGTATGCAAAGTTGCCGAACAAAGTATTCTCGAAGACTTCGGGGCGTTGCTCGAAGTAAATGCAGTATTCCTTGCATCTGGTGCGGAGGGCCTCTCGGTCGTGTGCGGAGATCAAGAGCAACCGGCGTTTGCCCTCCTTGTCTTTAGTGCTAGTCACTTCTTCCTGCGGCACCTGCGATGGTGCTTTTTGTAAGACGACGTGTGCGTTTGTACCACCGAAACCGTAGTTGGAAACACTGATGTATCGTTTGCCGCGGGGCCAAGGACGCGTCCTGTTGACGACTTTCATATGCCACTCCGCAAAAGGAATCTTGGGATTAGGATTTTTGTATCCGGCGTTGGGGAGGATAAGTTCTCTCTCGAGCATCATGGCAGACTTGATAACTGATATGATGCCACTGGCACCTTCTAGATGGCCGACGTTCGTCTTGACTGATCCGATGTAGAGCGGGTTTCTCGCGTTGCGCCCCTTTCCGAACACTGCCTGGATCGCGGTTGCTTCTATTGGATCACCGACAGCGGTTCCTAGACGATACTTATGTTAGCTATGGACCCAGTGAACGACGGTCTCGTGCATCTACAACCTGTGCCGTGGGCTTCAACAAAGCCACAGTCAGCCGGGTTCAAGTTTGCTTCCTTGTATACCCGCCGAATCAATTCTTCTTGTGCCACACCATTGGGACATGTAATTCCCCTTGTCTTGCCGTCCTGGTTAACTCCTGAGTGGGCAATCAAAGCCCGGATGGGGTCGCGATTACGCAAAGCTGCGGACAGGCTCTTCAGCATAATTATACCTGCGCCTTCACCTCGCGCAAAGCCCGAGTTTCCTCTCTCCTCAAATGCGAATGATTTCCCTTCATCGTTTAGTAACCTGTCGCAATCTGGAGGTCAAAATCATGCAAACCATCAATATGATTATCGGGCTTAAAAAGGTAGTTACTCACTGTTGCATCGACATCGTAATGGAGTTCTCGGGGGTCAAAAGCAGATGGCAACCACCGACAAGCGCCTCGGTGCACTCTCCGCTCCGCAAACTTTGTACAGCGGAGTGCAAGGCCACAAGGGAAGACGAACAAGCGGTGTCGACCGTCAAACTAGGACCCTTCAGGTCAAACATGTAGGAAATTCGGTTCGACTGGAGGGCAGGGTATCCTCCAGTGGCCTGGAACATTGGGGCCGTCTCCGTATCGCGGATATTGTTCGTCTCGTAGTCGGGCCAGTTTGCTCCAATAAAAACCCCGATGCTACGTCCGGCCATGTATTCTCGCGAAATCCCGGCGCTTTCCATGGCTTCGTATGTACATTCTAGCAGGAAGCGCTGCTGTGGGTCCATAGATATGGCCTCCTGGGCACTGACATTGAAGAAAGGTGCGTCGAACCGGGAAATATCACCGAGAAAGTAACCACCAGCCTGATTGCTGGTGCCCGGTTTCGAAGCATTCGGGTGGTGAAAGGCTTCGACAGACCAGCGGTCCTTGGGTATGGGCGTCCAGCCGCTGCGCCCTCTTGTGCAGAGCTCCCATAGATCACTCGGCGACGAGACCTGACCAGGAAGTCGGCAGGAGTATCCAATAATTGCAATTGGCTCCAGAGCCGGTGTTTCCGTCGGAGGTGGTGACCCATCCATGTCTACTGCCGTGTCACAAGCTGGAGACATGATGGTTGTAACAAGTCAGTTGTGACAGAGAGATTGAACTGTTAAGAATTACAAAGGAGGGGGATGCAAGAGGCAGAGAGGGGGGGTGCAAAAACAAGCAAATATGCAAGGGATGTAGTATTAGCGAATAGATGGATGCAGTGCCTGGTTGACGGCAAACACCTCGCGACAGGCTCATTAATCAGAGTAGATCATCGAGCGCACTGCATGGGATGTCTAGGGGCTGAGAGAAATACGTAGGCCCGTAAACCTAGTCAAGAGCCATCGACGATGGTGTGGAAGACAGTGGTAGTAGTGTGACGCCACTGAGGCATCGGAACGTGGAGGAAAACCAACGGCACGCAGCGAATGTCTTCTGTGTAGCGTTTCTTTCAGCATTCTTCTTTGTTATTTGGTCAACTGATGAATCCAATTGGCTAGATATCCTGTTTCATGCTTGTGTATGCAATGTGTGCGTATTGGGATACATCAACCGACTCTGTCACGATATGATGCATGGGCCTAATGCATCATGTCGAGTAACTCGGAGACACTACCCTAATTGCCAATGACTTCCCAGTTTAGGGGTCAGCACACCTTCCCCACATTCTCTGGCGAGCAGATAAGTATGCCAGCTCTCAACAATTGATTCTTCTCTTTTTGCTTGTCTTCTTACATCCCATCTATGAATAGTATAGCCAATCATCCCAAACACTTCTGACATGCATTTCCTCTGCCTTCACGGCGCCATCGGCAACACCGAGGTGAGTGTTCATTATTTGGCAATATCATACTAAGCGAATGGGTTATAATTCTAACAAGCACAGACTATCACTATTCAGTTAGGTACTTGCAGTCCTTCATCTACAGATTGTCCTTGCGACTTGTTATTTTATTAACGACAAGCAACTTACAGCACCACTATTGAAGGAGTTGAACACCGACAGTTCAGCAATAACCTTTCACTATCTCAACGGTCCTCTCCTGGTTTCCCCTCCCCCAGGATTTGAGGCGTATTTCGGTGTGGGACCGCATTACCGGTGGATTGATGACGGCCAAAAGCCCGGAAAGTCCACGATTCGGCGCGTCCGGGACCTGCCAACTAGCGAGAGCAATGATGATGCCATGAGGGAGGTCTTAGGGGATGTACACTGTCGAAACTATGCGGATCTCATGGATTACATTGAGGGTGTCTTGGAGAAGAACCCAGAAATCGGCGGGATGATCGCCTACAGCGAAGGAGCTGCGGCAGCTGCGACGTATATTCTCGATGAACAACGTCGACATCGCGAAGACGGCCGCGAGCGCCAAATCAAGTGTGCCATGTTCGTTGGAGGCTGGCCAGCCATGAGGCGAGACACGAAGGGGTTCATCCTTGCAGATGACGGCGGGGATGAAATGATCGACATTCCCACGCTTCATGTCCTAGGGGCGAACGGTAGCGACAATCCTTTCTCTTATTTACTTTGGTTTTTCAATTTCAGGTTCCAGCTAACTTTATTTATCATTCAGACCCTTACCGATATGGCTCGGAAGCACTCTTTGAAACCTGCGATCCTGATGCAGCCGAGTTCTTTGATATGGGCAAAGGGCATACTCTTCCACGGTCGGGGTTGGTGATCAGTGAATTAGCGCAGTCAGTGCGGGACTTAATCAAAACGACGGAGTAGTCGAAGGGATGAGATAAGTAAGGGGTTGGGAATTTGTATTTCTATCTAAGTTTCTACCCCTTGCGTGTATATGACCACTGTGATGGGCCCGATCTGCTGGTGAGAAACGTGATCTAGCTCGTATATAATTGACTCCGAGACGTGCAGCCCGAGGAAGGGGTACACGCGTATGATGAAGGCTGTAGAATCGTATTTGCACCGACTGCGCTTTTAGTGGCAGACACCCCCACCCAGGAACTTTCTTCTCCATCTACAGAAAAATGCGATTTCTATGCCTCCACGGCTCCATAACCAGTGCTGATGTAAGTCGTAATTTTCTCTGCGAAGAATACTGTACGCCACTGTACTGATATAAAATCGCAGACACTCAGTGTCCAGTTAGGTATGAGAACAATTGCTCTCAGGGAGGCCTTCAACCCTTAACTCATGTGTGACTAGGGCCTTTACAGAAAAACCTGGCGGCCGATAATACCGCTTCATTTTATTGTGTGAATGCGCCACATGCCACAACCGCCCCTGGAGGTGCGACATAAGTTCGCCACATTAATCTATGAATCGACTGAGGTATGGCTGACAGAGCCCAGGCTACATAGAATATTTTGGTCACCCACCCCACTACCGCTGGCTTAATTACGTTGGCGTTGGTATTGATGCCATCTACGACACTGTCCGCGGGGCGCGAAGCAAACAACATGCTACTCCAGAGGATACCTTTCGATCGCTTATACCTCCTGAGCTTTCCTGGGTCAACCATGAAGATGTTTTGAAATATATTGAAGAGACACTGGAGAAGAATCCCGACATTGAGGGTCTCCTGGGATACAGTGAAGGGGCGACTGTTGGGGCGGCATATATCTTGCGCGAACAGATGAGGGAGCAGGAGACCGGCCGCACGCGGCAGATTAAGTGCGCGATCTTTCTCGCTGGGATCCCCCCAGTCAAAGCGGAGAATGGATTTATATTTGCCGATGAACAAGAGGAGATGATCGACCTCCCCACTGTCCATATCGTTGGCGCAAATGGTGTGTTTCCCTTGTGATATATGGGCATGTTTGACCGTTGGCTAATGGCTCGCTTTTGCACGAATAGACCCTTTTAGGATAGCCGCGGACTGTCTATACAACATTTGTGATCCTGATAGCGCTTACTTCTTTGATACTGGCAAGGGACATACCATTCCACGTGGAGGGCCAGTGATCGATGAGTTGGGAGACACAATTCGAGAATTGGTTCAGAGGACAAAGGAAGGGTGATAAGTAGATATACAAATTCTGTTTGCAACATATTCATACAATTGAGTATCTATGCCAAATTAAGCGATGAAGATCCGTGACGCCAATCACAGGATGTCCTTAAACAGAACTGAAAATATATGAGGCCACGATACATTAGTCCTAACTCTTTAGTTGTGATAGCCAAAAACCCTTAGCAAAACTTGACCTCCTACTCTAGCATAGTAGTATTTGTAGGGATTTTCTCCTATACTTAGCTATATGGCGCTTCAAATGGAAAAAAAAACAATGATTGGGGGGTGCTTATAACAAGGCAATATATTCAACATCTTTTCCTTTCTAGACGATACGATGTTTCCTAGACATGAGGTGGTTTATTAAAATATCTCGGAAATTTTTGCACGTTTTAGGCTATATGACCTATCGAAGAGGCGGCTTAAATTTATAGGTGGAGATTGTTGCCATGTGCGAGGAAAACATTGACGCTTTGGTCTTTGGAATTTCTATGATCATACGGATAATTCCGAGTGACATGCATATGAGCATGGAAAATTTATTCGGGAGCCGACTGCCATCTTTGAGTGGGGCGAAAATTATAGAGCAAATAATTTCTTATCTCCTCTAATTTAGCCAATTGACTTAGCGTACGGATAATGGTTGCTACAATGTCGATCGCTGTTCATTATAAATCTAGCGCAAGCGCCATAATAACCCCCATGAATGAACCATTCCGTTTAGAGTACAGCTTGACAGACAGGGCGTTGGTCCCACAACCAATGAGCGACTGATCGAAAACTCACGTATAGCCGCCTAAGATTCATATATATAATTTATATTATGCATGTACAGCTAATAGACGTTCGAGAGCATGGCTCAGCCTGCTTAAAACCTAAAATCGGACGTTCCATCGATGTTATCAGCAGCCAGGGCTGAAGCTCGGAGGGATTGGAGGCGTAAGCACTAGCGCGAGCTAAAATGAACACCCCTTGGCCAAAACTTGCACCTCCACCCCTGTCTGTTCGGATAGCGATTGTTGTTCGCTCGCCTTTTTGTGCGCGGAAGCGGTTTAACTAATAAACTGCTGGGAAAATCTCGTAGCCGTCCAATCACACATGTGACCTAATAATTATCTAGCTTGTTTAACCATTTTTATGCGGCCTTCAAGTACCTACATGACTAAGATGAAATGATCTATCCGAAGTAAATGAAGATCTCAAGACCCAGGGCATACAAGTGCTAAGAATATCATTGAGTTTGATATACGGACATAGGCATATTTCTACCTCTCAATATCTTGTATGTGCACCGATAGGGTAGAAATAGGCCAAGTGGCGATCGGACCTCTGTACATGACAAACCTAACAATATGAGAAGCAGCATATCACGGCTAATACACTACCAGGAATATAAAAGGACATTGTGCAGTTTGGGGCTGAATATTCACTTGTCCATGGTAAGGGGGTGTAGCAGGTCTCAGGTTTGTTAGGTGGCGTCAACCAGGATCCGAGAAAACGATCACACGAAAAAGCCATTGAGGCCATGCACAGAGTCTCATAATTACCACTATAGTGCTTGATACTATTATAATTATTGTTAATATTATCCCGGTTTCAACTCAGCTCGTATGGCCCCACCCGGCTTGTGGAGGTAGAGGGCATTTCGTGCACCATCCCCGTGACGCTTTCTGTCGGCAGCTCGGAAACCGTCCGCGCTCCCGGAGAGACACTTTGGTACTCCATGGCCTGAGGGCCTCGGGTTATCCGGCGGCGTAGGAAGAAGATCACTGCGGCTGCAATAGCACCAACGCCTACCACAGCGCCGATTACAGGGCCCGCAATCCACGCTTGGCTCTTTCCGGAAGAAGATGTGGATGTTGAAGACGGTGAAGCGGTCGAGGTTTGGGTAGCGGAAGAGGTTTTTGTGGCCATGGAGGTTATCGGTGCGGTGGTTGCACTGGCTGTGGAATCTATGAGGCAAAGTTCCAGTAAGACTTACTGCATCTAAGAGGCATTGTGGGATTGAATATACCTGAGGCAGCTGATGTGGTTGAGGTTGTCGTTGCGGGCAGCTCTCGATAGATTGTGTACGCAGACCAAAAGTCAGCGCAGAAGAGGTTGTATGCGGATGGGGTAGCGTAGGGCTCGGATTGATAGATAGTCATGGTTTGGCATGACATAGACTCGGCACCGCTAGTCAGACACAAAGTCCAGTTGTGTATTAGCGACAGCCTGTCTCAACGTATGAATATGATGATTTCAGACATACCAGTCCAGGGTTTTATTGTCGACATCGTAGTAAAGTATGTTCCCGCTACATGCGGTAGCCCAGGAACAGGTAACAGAAGCGGTGCAGCCGGCTGCATATTGCCCGGATGTCGACCAAGTGCCCGCATCAGTTAGGGCTTGGGCTGCAGTTGACGGTCAGGGTAAGCGATGATGTTCGGATCAAACAGAATAGCACCGAGGTGGCGAACAAGTACTGACTGGTCGTTCCAAGATACCATCCCATAAAATGTGGACTGTCCTGAATAGAAGTATTCAACGATGTGGTTGTCTGACCAAGACTTCCGGGGAGGGAGAGCAGCATCACCCAGGAGAGTACCTGCCATGCCGCAGGGACTTCAGGTATCAAGAGCCGCGCCATCATTTCACAAACACAACGATCCAACTTGACCCTAGGATACCCTCACCTCACATATGAAGGATGTGCCTGGGCCCAAACGAAGACTACCAGATATAACGGGTTATTCATTTTCCTGTGCGGAGATTGCGCTTATGTATTCGGTCCTTGTCCAGCATCGCTAAGAGGCACCACTAGTGTTCCAATGCCGACCAACAGAGCCTTAGCGCAGCGAAACCTCGCGTGGCCGTGATACAGCCACACTTTAATGCTCGAGCGACTTAAAGGTATGGCATTATGACTATTTAGCGAGGCTACAGGCCTCCCAGGATTCTGACCAAGTCAACTAGCGGTGGGCCGGTGCCTCTCAAGTAAATCAAAAAGCCTCGCGACACCTCTCCGGTGACACCCGGCACTAGCAAGACTAAGGATCTTTTTGCCCTCCAATCAAGACAAACCGTCGATGACCCTGTGGGAGCACAAACTCAATTTCCCTGACTGTTAGCGCCCGCGCTAAGCCATCATGGAGCGATACTCGAACCGTGGCAATGATAGTAATCCCACCTTGTTTTTAAACAGGTGGACGCTCTCCGCTGGGGCCTGGAGCGCCGAGATTATTTCTCATCTCTTCTCACCTAAACACTCATCCCCATGAAAGCTCCTCATCTCGCCCAGCATCGATGCTCCCTTCCACCCTAAAATCTTCGCGCTATGGGCGCTTTGTTATCTTGACGATCCCGCTGCTCGTATTCAGCTGCCTGCTCTTCTTGACGTGGGACCCACTGCAGGGCCGACTCCGTCAGCAATCCCAAGCCCCGACAACGTCACAGTCCGATCCAATATCTCAGGTACCACAACCAGTCGAGCCATCAAAAGAAGAGGCATCGCACCCTAAACCACCAGTATCTACTAGCAACCTATCCACCTCGAAACCGATTGCTGACATCGCTGGCGGTGATGCTATCTTCGGTATTACCGACAAGCTTTGGCAATCCGCCAAGGATCCCCACCTGAGCGACGACCAAGACGAATGGATCAGCAGCTGGCTCGAAAAGAACCCATCCTTCCGATATGAGCTCTTGACTGATGCCTCTGCTGCAACCTTCGTTCGTACTCATTATGCCTCGCGACCAGATATTATCGAGGTCTTCGAGACTCTCCCGATCCCGATCCTGCGGGCGGATCTCCTGCGATACCTGCTCGTGCTCGCGGAGGGGGGTGTCTGGAGTGATCTGGACGTTACCTGCGATAAGCCCGTGGCTGATTGGGTTCCAACTGAATATAAGAATGCAAAGATCGAGATGATCGTGGGCTTGGAGTTCGATTTTGACTGGCGCGGAGAAGGAACGGAAGTCGCATCGCAGTTCTGCAACTGGGTCTTCGCGGCACCTCGCTCATCACGTGTCCTGCAGGTGGTGGTGGACTCTGTCATAGCCCAGATCAATGAGATCGCTCTAATGAATAAGGTGCAGGTGAAAGACCTGACATTAGATATGCTGCCCATCGATGTTGTTAATGTGACGGGGCCCAAGATCATGACAATAGCAATCCTTGACAGCCTGAAGCAGCTGCTGGGTCGGACGGTTGATGATCGCGACTTCCATGGGATCAAGAAACCTAAGCTCATTGGAGATGTCCTTATCATGCCTGGTGTGTCCTTTGCGGCGTCCCAGAATGGATACCCCCAGGATCAAGGAGATGCGCTGGTTACGCATCACTACGCGGGTTCGTGGAAACAGGCCGATGCGGAGGCTAAGGAGAAGAAAAAGCAAAAACAGAACGGGCGGGACGAAGACGTATAGGATATCATAAGCATGGGATTATTAGGAGCTATTTTCTAGGATTGGCGTTGGCATCGTGGTTCAGCATTCTGTAAAGTTGCATACTTCTAATTCACTTTCATCTCTTGGCGACACATTCTGCTCTGTTTGTGTGTTCCTAATTTGGCTCTGCAATGAGAACAAACTGCCTGTTCATTGATTTTGGATTTGTGATCCCAATCTCGCGTTGGTATAGTGGCCTCGAGATACCTAGTAGTTTACAATTCTCATTTCCAGCCTTAGCCCCGGATGACACTATATATAAACCGCCATCACCAGTAGTTCTGCTTTGCCAACCAACACTAGTAGTACTTATGGTAATGCAAGATTTACATTTTCGTGTCACCTGTGTCTAGTAGTACAGTGCTTCTGGCATTCGTTCGTTCATTGGGGAATGTTGGTAGAAGCTGGTCAGAAACATTGATCTTTAAGGTTGATGATAGTGACTTATTTTCGGCTTCCCGTACCCACTTGACTAGCTTTGCGATCATTAGCAACGCATCCAAGCAGTAAACTCCCCAGTATACTATATGATTCAAGCCCGACCAAAGATCAGTACATACGACCACAGGGTGTGGAAAACAGGGCTTCCCGTCCGCTCAGCCGTACTTAAGCCACACGCCGGGAGGTTAGTAGTTGGGTGGGTGACCACCAGCGAATCCCTTCTGTTGTATGTTTTTTTGTCTTTACTTTGCACAACTCGCAGAGGAATACATCCACAAGGTATGCGCATGGATAGACGACCGTCAGGGATAGTAGGTGCCAACCAAAAGAGGGTACCCGACTCCACTGGGCCACTTCGTCAGAATAGCGTCTCTCGCGGCTTCAACCTGGGAAGGGTTGATGAGAAATCCAGATGCCTCAAAGAGGTTAATTTGCTGGGTGGTCCAAAACCTGCAGCCTTCTCCTGCAAAGTTAAACTCATATTGATGACGCTTCTGGCTCAGTATTAAGTTGAGGAAATCTCGCGCTCTGCAGCCAGGGCGAGCTTCCATTCGCACGACTTTCTGTGCCGTAGTCGATACTGGAACAGCGTGCTCTAGATAGCTAATGATCAAAAAGCCCTTACTGCCGTTGGGGTTTGTGACACCAGGGATACTGTAGGACGGAGTCATGTCAAGCTGCACCGACGTAGTATCCGTAATATTGAGATAAAAGCACCAGTAATTGCCGCCATTTTCAAGCGGGTCATGGGCGATGACATCAACCCCCCGAATTGGAAGATCCAGCATCGTCTCCCTGTCTCGTGCGGGGACGAACTGCAAGGGCTCAAAAGGGGGCCTTTGATAGTTCATCTCGATAGAGTAGCACCCACTGAGTTGGAGGGGGTGGGGACAATTGAAGTGGAGTAAGCCTCGGCGCGTGCGCGGCTTCGATTCGATACGGACTCTGGGGTTTATGGGTAGATAACCACTGCTGGCCTGCAAATGGCATCAACTGGATGTATTGAGCTTTACTTGGTACAAGCCGTTAATGTGTCTTTGAGATTAATTCTTAGCAATATCAACGTAGACAAAGTAAGAGCCAATACCGATTACTACACGGCTAACTAATTAGTTATCTGGTTGCCTGTTGTGTCACATGGTGCTAGATTTGTTTGCTTGATTTGCACCGCTGCAAGCTCGATAAAGGAATGCTACGAAAATGTGAACTAATACCTAAATTCTGGATTAGGTTGTGATAAAGTTGATTTGCGTTTTCAAAAACCCCATAATACGCATGCATGCTGTACGCAGAAGATAATGAGGCGCCTGATTGGCCAAACCTCACGTAGCCCCCAAGCAACTTAGAAGATCACCCTACCTCTGAATGAGAAACGAATACCAATTCACTTGGTTCTTATAGTAAGATCTACGTAAGTAATAGCCAGGCAATATTTCTGAGGTAAATATGCATCAGACTCAAAGTTGACTACGAGCATTTGATCGTTGGACGGATCTGCGTCTCGCGCCAGATTCAAGACGACCCGCCTTACGAGGCCGTTCTTGGCGGATATGACTGCCAGATTGGTATCTAGCAACCACCTTACCTGCGAAAAGCTCTGAAAGGCCCACCGCATCATTCTCAATAACGATCATATTACGTTAATTTAGACTGTCTGTGAGACAAGTATAATGAATCTTTTACATCACGCTCTATCGTCTTGCTAGGGAGTGGTGTGCTCATGAAACATTCCTCACGTATATCTGTACATTGCCATTTTTTGGTATTCAAAATGTTCCTTGAGTATCACCGCATTTTTCAAGGGTCAATTGCAGTTTGTTGATCCATTCCAGCTTTCCTTGGCCCATATGTCGTCATATCCCATGCTAGTGTTCCCATTAATACTGAACAATGCTCGACGTCTGTCATGCATATAACTATAAGGGCAAAGCCGGAAGCAAGGAGGACTATGAACTTGAAGCAAACGGGATGAAATAAATTCCTAAATCCTTCTCGCGGGGGATAGAAGGCGGGATGAGAAGTGGATTCTAGAGTACACAGGCAGGTTATCTGAACTACTAAGGCGACCGCATACCATCTATTTTGGTTTCTGCCCTATAGCTTTAGGAAGTTATGAGGTGAGCTAGAGTTTAGACAAGGCTGAAGTTCTTGTAATTCTGTTGCACAATCTTCTCCAACATCTGCCTGTACATCGCTAGCCACCCAAAGTAAAACAGCACCGAAGGCCTTTTACCAGAGACATTCGCCCCAAAGATCCAGGAGGGCGTTTTCCGAAACAGGCTGTTGGTGCTCGCTTCATCGCATTGTTGCATCTATGCCTGTAACGCTGTGGTGTCAGCCTCCACACGTGGACCATTTACTGCCGATTGAGCTGCCGCCAGCTTTCTCGCGTGGGAGATAATGTCAGAGATGAACTCCACCTGATCTCAATCAAGCGGGTATTTTGGTGAACGGACCGGCTGGACCGAGAACGGTAAACAGATTCGGGAATCCAGGGATGCAGGTTCCTAGGAAAGAGCTGGGCTCCTCCTTCCACCGATTCTTGAGTCTCTCCCAGGGCACCTTGAAAATGCATCCGCTTGTAATTTCCATCTACCGCGTCAAAGCCTGTTGCGAAAATAAGGACATCCAGCTCGTATTCTGATCCATCGGCTGCCCGTATTCCTTTGTTTATTATCTGGGTAATAGGGTTGGTCCCAATATTGACGACGTCCACATTCGCACGATTGAACTTCTCGTAGTAGCCGGTATCACACAATGGGCGCCTGGCATACCAATCATACGGCATGAGCTTCTCGGCCTTGACAGGATCTTTCACCTTTTGACGAATCTTTCGGCGGATGAACTCCGCAGCAGCCTTGTTTGCTTCCATATCGGAAAATATGTCGCAGAACGTGCCAAACATAAAATAAAACCCATTCCCTTTCACCCAGGCATCTTCAAAGATTCTTTCGCGCTCTTCCTCGCTAACACTGAATGTGGGCTTGGAGCTTTCTTCGAAGCCAAAGCCAAGGACGCTGTTCCTTACCTCGCCCCTACCTGCTCCCAACGCTCATCCAGTTTTGCTTGAGTGGCGGCAGGGACCTCCGCATAACCTGCTGGGACGACATTCTGTGGGTGACGTTGGAAAGAGAGTAGTTGCTTGACATTTTGATCGGCCAATGCAGTCACCAACTGAACACCTGTGGATCCGTTTCCAATTACACCGACGCGCTTTCCTGTGAAATCATAGGAGGCGAGCCAATTCCCAGTGTGATACATCTCGCCTTCATATGTCTTGAGCCCGGGAATATCAGGATAATTGATTTTAGATAGCAGTCCCACAGTCGTCACAATATATCGGGCTGTTAACCGAGGGACAGCTGATAGCGAAACAGTCCACAAGTTATCGACGTCATCATAAATAGCTCTTTGCATTTACTTCCGTGTCAAATTGCATATATTTTCGTAGATCATGTCTGTCGACAACATGCCTCAGGTAAGCCAATATCTCGGGCTGCATCAGATACTCTCGTTTCCAAGGATATTCGCGGAGATCCTCAAGGTTCCACGAGTATCGGTAGAAATAAGATCGTGTGCTGGCTGTACCATGAGCATACTCCTTTGTAGCGTGGTGAGTCGACTTACTCGTACAATGCACCAGAATAACGATTCCAATACCATGTCCCTCCCACATCAGGTGCAGCTTCAATGACCTTGACAGATAGGCCTTGGTCTGTGAGCTTCTTGCACATGTAGATACCTCCAAACCCGGCCCCTACGACAATCGCATCAAAGTCGGGTCGAGTTGGAGCATACACAGGCATTGTCAAAAAGGCTTTTACGGTAGCAGACAGGTTTCTAACAGCTAAAATGGGTTGAAATAGCAATTAGAATACAAGCCGACATTTATCTAGATTTGTACGTGGTGTTGTAAAGGATGAACGCACCATCTATCCACTAACAGTTGTAGATCTTCACCACCCCCATCCCCAACCCCCTGCTATTCCCTCGAAGATCTGCAGCGCGCTGTCAAATTACCCTGCCAGAATATTGCTCCTCCTGAGTCTCTGATCATCGCGCTATATGCGACGCGGTGAGACCGGAGCGGACTTACTCCTTTTTGGAGTCGTTTGCATCTGGATCCTGTCTTCCAACTCAATACCAATTATGCTAAGTGTCAAAGACTTCCAGTCTCCCGCCTTGGCAGCTAATACACTCCTGGATTTTCAGAAAGCTCAATGGCACTCCCCAAAGATCCGTTTCAAATTTATCTTAGACACGTAGCCACTAGAGGTTTGTGTATATACTCTACCTCCTGGCGAATAGAACCAGGGACCTGTAATTGTAGTCAATTGCCGAAAAACGGACCATCTTACACGTAGAATCATACCATGCAGCAAGATCCCCTTTCCGCGGAGTCCAATGGTAACATCACCACAGCTTTAGCAACACCTCTAGACCTTTTACTGGGTTCCCATTTTCTTACATGTCTCCGTAGATCACCTGCCAGCGCTGTAGGTGTGACAAAGGAGGTGACAGCGCCCACTGGGATGCCGGAATTACTCGCCGCCAGTCGAGATCTACGTAACATGCCAGTTACTGCATGCTAGGAGGTGATCTACCGGGTTACACCTGTACCACCAAAAAAGCCCCAGATTGAACTGACAAGATTGACCGCCCCGCACGTTTTAACTTCTGGCAAGATAGCAAACTTGGTTTCCCTGCGTAGTAAATGTAGCTTGACTGATTCGGTTCATGAATTACCTTCGACTCAATGTCAATGACTCAGGAAAATACTGTTCAATATGTTCTCTATCCTCGAGGACGAGAGACCTCGAGATGTTTCTTCAAAACTTCTATTTTTCTAGTATAAAAAAGTTAAAACAAACATACAACAGAAGGGATTCGCTGGTGGTCACCCACCCAACTACTAACCTCCCGGCGTGTGGCTTAAGTACGGCTGAGCGGACGGGAAGCCCTGTTTTCCACACCCTATGGTCGTATGTGCTCGGACTAAGCGTGGAAGGCTATATAAGAAGGCTTGACTGATCTAATAACTAAGTCCCTTATGGAAGCCGACTTCTGGGACTGACCAGATCTATCATTGTGCATTCTAAACATGTTCAAGCTCAAGCCAATGCCAAGACCATGGCTATAACCTCACCTATTTGGCTCGCAGACTTAAAGATACATTGTATCACAAGGCATATGAGTAAAGCCTTCGGTTCAAGCAATTGTATAGCCTAGTGCTAAGTAGAGAAAACGCAGGAAGTATCTGATGCACGTGTTGATTCTGCCAAAAAATTACCGGTACAATTACTTCGCAGCAATACAGGGGCAAAAAAGATGTTCAGTGGGCATACCACTGCAGAATTGCTTGGTCCATATCTGCGCCACTCAAGCAAGCATCCGCTAGATGACTACATCGGAACCCATCCATGGAATACATTCATTGGTAATGCGACATCGAGTGCGAAAATGATTGGAGGATCTGCGGCATACTGACTACACAAAATACGCCGTCAGGGCGACGCAAGGGAACACTAATTTGGAGCGGAAAACTAAATCTATTCTGGGTATACTTTCCCAGCCTGCGCGAATAGATGGTAGATCCACTGACGTAGCTAAAACAGTTCATCTACCGTGTTTCTGGACTTTGCGGTGTCGTTGGGGTACAGGTTCTCCCTCCTGGAGATGTGGAGATAGGCAAGCTGATACAGATGTTCGAAAACCCATTGTAAAGTGCCTTACCAACGCAGATAATTCTTTCTGGCGAGTCACCAAAAGAGGGGATAGTCTCTACATTCAGGAGGAAATTGTGGTTGATTCGTCACCATTGGTAAAAGGAAACCTGGAATTACTAATCTCTTTGCTTACTGCAATATATCGGCCCATTCAACTTGATATTCAAGCCGGGAATACTCGCTGGGTTCTGACAAGGGTTCTCGCGGAGGCTAAGCATTATTAGTGGGCAATGCGAGCGCACCAAGGTCGGGCTGGAGAAGGCTTTTCAGACAGTTGAGGAGAGTGTCAGTGGCATTGTCAAGCTCATTGATGGTGCCACGCGCATGTCCGTGGGAGCCCAGTTGCGGGTCTGGGATGGTACCGTCTTTCCGTGGTAAATGGCCCTCATGCTAGCAGTTATTAGATGGGTAGAGTTGCTCTTTACCAGGAGGTATCATGTACCATTGCTTGAAGCGGTCAAATGCGAGATCGGTAATTATAGTAGTATAAGCATACTTTCAAGGGCTTACCACGTCGGGTTGGACGGTAAGAAACAGCCACGATACCTACTGAAGAAACCCCCCCCATGAGTGGCCGTTGAAGGCGACAGCGACTGCCAGCGCTTTATTTTGGTCCATATAACATTTACTTGTAGCATAATTTCAACAATTGGCCTGCTGGCCCAATGGTAAGGCGCTTGACTACGGATCAAGAGATTGCAGGTTCGAATCCTGCGTAGGTCATTTTTTTTTGCTTTTTTGTTTTGTGGCTAGCTCGGCTACCCGTTATAGTCACTGAAGAGAGCTGTTTATCTTGTCGCTTTTTCCTTTGGTACCCACTTTTTTTCTCAGTCTCTTGCACAAGTAGTTCCTTTGAGATCACTCACACTCTTCAGAAGGCTAAATAAACGATATTACTCCGTCTTCTATGTTTTCTAAGTACTGTCCAGGTGACGATTATTACTACTCATAAAATGCTCAGTAATGCTATTGAAAACTACATTTCAAAAAAGGAAGCAAGAATATCTATCAACAGGCTTGAATTCAGATTATGACTATGACAGACTGGCCTGGATCCTCTCAATATCAGTGTAAGTAGGACTCGTCACAAAAAGGACGACGCAAATAATTAGACAATATAATCATGAACGAATGACGGCATTGAACCCATCCCCATCCCATAAGATATACCTAAACCATTTTGAAACAATCGATTCCCGGAAGCTCGAGGTAGTGTGGTGTCACTTTAGAGCGATCGATCGATACCAACGCCGTAACTCCTATTGACTTCTTAGCAGCCAGGCCAAAATCTCAAGATGAAGTGTGACACATACCTTAAGCAGAGAAGTTCAAGGACGCAGAAGCCTTCGCATTAGCGCTAGCAGAGGCCTCAGCGCTACCACTAACGGAGGCCCCAGCACTAGCGTTGGCATCAGCATTTCCGCTACCGCTGGCAGAGGCATCGGCATCCGCGCTAGCATCCGCATCTGCATCGGCATCAGCTCCGGCATCGGAATCGTCGCTGTCGTCGCCGCCCGTGGATCCTCCAGCCGTGATGCTGCCGCTGGCGCCGCCGTAAGGACCGAGAGAGACGCTGGTGGAGGCACTGACCCAAGTGGTGGTGGCGCTGGGAGCTTCCGCAGTGGTGGGGGAAACACCGACGTCAGTATCGTCATCGCCGCTGCCAGAAGCTCCGGCACCGAGAGAAGCAGAGCCGGATCCGCTGCCGCTCACATCACCCGAGGCATCGCCGGAAGCACCGAGATCAGCACCCGCACCGAGGCCAGCAGATCCAGATCCAGAGAGACCAGCGGAGCCAGATCCAGAAAGACCGGCACCAAGACCAGCACTAGCGCTAGGGCTAGCACCGACGCTGCCACTGGGGCTGGCACCAAGACCAGCGCCAGCACCGAGACCAGCAGATCCAGATCCAGAGAGACCGGCAGAGCCAGAGCCGGAAAGACCAGCACCGAGACCAGCACCAGCAGCGCCGGAAGCACCAGCGCCAGCAGCACCGGTAGCGCTACCACCAAGACCGGCAGAGCCACCAAGGCCAGCAGCACCCGAAGCGCCGGCACCGAGGGAACCGGTAGCACTTCCTCCAAGGCCGGCGCCAGCACCAAGGCCAGCAGCGCCGGAAGCACCCGCGCCAGCAGAACCGGTAGCGCTGCCACCGAGACCAGCGCCCAGACCGGCGGAGCCACCAAGACCGGCGGAACCGCCGAGACCAGCAGCACCGGAAGCACCAGCGCCAGCGGAGCCAGTAGCACTTCCTCCAAGACCAGCACCAAGGCCAGCGCTGCCACCCAGGCCAGCAGAGCCACCGAGGCCAGCAGAGCCACCGAGGCCAGCAGCGCCAGAAGCACCGGCACCAGCAGCACCAGTGGCACTTCCTCCCAGACCAGCGCCGAGACCAGCGCTACCACCCAGACCAGCAGAGCCACCGAGGCCAGCAGATCCACCAAGACCAGCGCCCAGGCCAGCAGAGCCCGAGGCACCAGCACCCGCAGCTCCAGTAGCACTGGCACCAAGACCAGCACCAGCGCTGCCACTTCCACCCAGACCCAGACCGGCACCCAGATCAGCGCCCAGGTCAGCAGATCCACCCAGGCCAGCGGAGCCACCAAGACCGGCAGCTCCCGAAGCACCAGCACCCGCAGCACCGGTAGCACTGGCACCGGCACCACCGCCCAGAAGGGCACCCAGACCAGCGCTGCCGCTCAGACCGGCGCCGAGGTCAGCACCGAGACCAGCACCAGCACTTCCACTACCGCTGCCGCTACCACCAAGGCTGGCGCCCAAGTCGGCGCTGCCGCTGCCGCTGGCACTGCCACCGAGACCGAGACTGGCACCCAGGCCGGAGCTTCCCAGGAGGCTACCAGCGCCGCTGAGGAAGGGAAGGAGGCATGGGATGGGGATGGCGGAGACGGTGGCGGCGGTGACGAGGGTCGCAGCGGAGACTCTGTAGAAGCGAACCATTTTGACTGATTGATTTCGATTTCTGTGATCGTTAGTACTGTGCCAAGCTGATTGGAACCGAAGATCAGAAAGTGGTAGGAAGGTTACCTTCGAGAAACGGGAATTGAGAAGAACGAGAGTTGAACGGAATTATTGAAAATGTAAACACAGAGATCGATACGCCACAGGCGATCTGAAAAGCAAACAAGAGCGAGAGGAAAAAGAGGAGAAAAGACTGGTGAGAGGGATGAGGATGGGATGGAAAGAAAGTCAACCTGATCGGTGGTGGTGACAGAGGCTATATATGCCTTTTTTGCGTCGAAAGGTTCCCGTCTTCTTCTCCCGCATCGCGGAGGAGAGCCATGGCTGTCTCCCCGTGGATAGGGGCCCGTGAAACCGCGGTGGTTTGATAGTGGCTGCTCGTGTCAGTGTAGAGTTTCTAAGAAAAGTGTCCATGGCCTGGTTCGGACCTGCCAAGCATCTTAGTGAACCGTAGAATGAACCATCATCTGGGTTTTCCGACGGGCACGGACTTGGTAGACTGTGGATACGGTCAGGGACGACGGGCTCTCCTGGGACTGGAACCTCTGCATTGATCAAAATGGGCACAGAGCCGGCACTCAACCGGGAATCAACGCTCCGAATCGGGCAGGGGAGACCGGCTCAGGAACCTGGCCGGTGTCGCTGCGTCGAAACGCGCTAGAATTGTGACCCAGAGATCGAGATGAAAAGAGGTTTTCGATCTGGGATCGAGAAGATCAATGCTTGAGCATTGTTGATGACCTGAATAAGGGGGCAATGGCTTGAGGTTGTCCATAGTAATTAGATGCGCTGATAGTATAGACTAGCGTGTATGAGAACGAGAGCACCAAACGAGTCACTGTTGATGCCTGAGCATTGATAGTGAACTCCGGATAAACGTGAATTCCTTGACTGCAAGACTTGATGCAAGACGGGATGGAGAGCAGTGGAGGTGTATCACGATCGTGACCCCTGCGCTAGCGATCTGCAGCCCATGTTTGGAGTTTGCCCGAAGATGGGGGGATCGGCTGGTTCTTCCGGGCGTTGCGGATGATCCTCGGAACTGATCCCGTTTAGGCTTCCTATGTCTTTTCTGATCGGCAGGAACACCAACTCAACTCTCCAAGTTTAATCATTCACTTAATTCACCTCGCACCTACAGCTTCGACCTGATTCATCTTCTGTGTATACTCAATTGCAGTTACTATTCTACTATCTACAAGTTCACACCCCTTTCTTCTATCTCCCCTGAGCTAAGAATAGCCCATCCAATGAGGACCCGCTGTTTCGAGCCAAACCCTATTCTGGCCTCGTCTCACCCTGAAACCCCACCGTTCGCTCGACCTCGACATCCCAACTTTGGGGAGCTCTCTACGCCCTCTCTCTAGCCTACAAAGACTAAACCTCAATCGGAAATGGTGTCCGTTGCCAGGCACCACCCATGCAGACCCCGAGCAGCGAACCCGCGACCACTGAAGCAGCCTAAAATTCCCGAGACCAATAATGAACCCCTAAAGAAGAGGGTCTAACGGAATAGTCCCTCCAGACTATCCACATGGAAGCTTAGCACGCAAGAAAGAAGCACTTTAGAGTTTACAATTCTCGAAGTCGCCGATGTAGTCGGAAGGTGGTGCCGACACTCGACTGGGGCTTTACCTTTTTCCCCTACGGCTGACCCTCGAACTTTTTACTGGCTGATTTCTTTCCCTCGAAACAAACCAACCTTGCTCACCAACCACGACGACACTTTGCCGGGTCTGAGTGTTTCATATCCCAGTTACAACACTGGGAAGACGGGGAAAACGCGGGAAATTTTATCCACTGCCTCCATCGCGAGAGTCGAAAATAGAATCAATGTCTCCGTATCGAGCATCTGCCATGGCCATGATCGCGGAGTGGTGAGCAGCGTATCGAGATCATCTATTCGAATCAATGGCGGGATAGCGAGTGACAGATCTGCTAAGAATAGGTCATGGTCGGGTTATGAGACTGGGGTATGGAGTACACGGTCTACCATTCCTGGTAAGTCTACCCACTACGGCAGTAAATGTGCCCTTTCCCCGTTGTCGTGCATGATTCGGCTTCTTGCTGCCCAAGGGTCCCTAGCGGTCGGGATTCTCTCTTCAATTGGATATCGCTCACGGCTCGATTTGTTGTCTGTGGGAATGGGAAAGAACAGAATCGAATGAGAAGCATGGTCCAACAGTCTAGACTGCTGGATCGGCGAAAATTCTGCATCTTGCGGAAAAAGCCTGTCTGAGTTTATTTCACCTTGTAGGGGAAGACGAAGCATCGATCAGCGATCAATAACTTTGGTATCGGAAATGAGGCCCCGATTACCTAAATATTTACGAGATGGGGACTTTGGGACTCATTATGGGGGTGATATCGTTAGGTATGAGAGACTATGCTGGGCTTGTTGGTTATTACGCGATATCCCGCAAGGGTTGGTGGTTATGACGAGTTGCCTCAGGATAGCGAAGTAGCTTGGTTGGGTGTTATCCGGTAGCAGCACATCACTTTTGGGAAGCACGAGATATGGTGCGATCAGGACCGTATGTAGGTCAAGCCAGTTCTGACCTTGGTTTACCGGGGGATGAGAAAAACTTACCACACTGGGAGATATGTAACTGCGAAGATACAGTCTTTCATGCTAGACGACTGTAGTAAATGCAGCATGACCTGGCATGTTCGCTAGCAGATGTGGACTTGGAAGGGCGCCTGTCTGATCAATTTGCTGTACTCTATACAACATTCCGCTTCTCAAGCAGTCAATATTTCTGCTGCCAGATTAGGTATTGCAAGTTCTCTGCCTTGAAGACTCTTCATCTCAGCATCTTCCTTTCTCTCAAACTCATACCTTATCTCTGACGCTATATGACTGCACTCTCAGACTAACTCATCTTATACTATCACATTCAGTCCTCCAGTGATTTCTCTTTTTATCGTTTTGTCTTCTATGACTCGGCGGCGTCACGATCAGACGGCTCAAAGTCGATTGCGGCCTGGTTCGGCATGCCCTTGTACGGTGCTAGCGGCTATGACTTACTATCCAGGCGCTTACCACACCCGATGCCTTTAGGCCTTAATGACTTCATGAAGTACATAGTCCTCGGCATGGATAAGAATGCATCTTTGAGGCTTTGAATGGTACTTAATTTACCGCTATCCAGTCTTTGAAGAAACCTCCTTTCACCGACACAACACACACTCAAGTTGCGCAATCCCTGTGATTTGGTGTCATATACACAGTTCCAAATTTAATCAGACTAAACGTTACATTCTAATCATTCAAGAAGCGACCCGACTGTCATCTGCTGGCGAATGTGTTTTGTCCCTCCTCCATCACGTGACTGGTATTCATTTCCCCGCGTTTTCCGGCCCCATCCCGATTAGGCAAATGTTGCAGCCGATCCCCCCTTCACCGTCAGCCGCAAACAGAGATGACTGCTTCAAGTCTTCATTCCCAATCAGTGCATCTTTCTGGGGGCATGGCAGATTTGGTGTAGCGAGCACCATTGGCCACTTTAACAACTCACCATCGACAGGCCCAGAGCCCTATGACACCCGTCGATCAATAACCAAAGAATTCGTTCGCTTCTAGAAGCCTGTTGTGATCACCCTGCATGGTGTCCCTGCGACCCTGAAGATCCCGATAATCTCATTAAACCTCGGATGCCCAATAAGGCGAACCACGTACCATCCCAAATTGTGTTCGTCGATCCTCAACGGGCGAAATTTGACCTCTCATTTATCAGACCTCATCCCCAAGCCATGATCCGTTGGCAAACGAACTATTACCTTCGTGCCTGCGGGCGGCGATCATCATTAAACGCCTGCGGTGTATCCCAACAGCCGTCCTCACTCAGGATTAGGGGGAGATTTCAGCACCAAGCAAACTATGCAACTAACCCGCAACACCCCCCGAGGCAGCAGTCGGCCACGTTGCCCATCCTGGGGACGATTGTCGCTACCGCGGCTGTAACGCTCTTTGCGTCCGAGGCTTGGCGCGGAAGGGAAGCCTCCAAGACGCAGGATGTTGCTAGAGATGTTCAATCTGGTCCATCTCAATCCGGACCTTCCAAATATGCGGATGTCCCGACGATGCTTCGGGTATGTAGCACATTTGCAGCTTAACTATCATTATTATTAATCGCGAGATTTAGGCCGTCGAGGAAATCAAGACAATCATCGGATCCGACAATGTAAGTGTTGACGCCGACGACATTGAAGTTCATGGATACTCCGAATGGTCCACGTCCAACACCACCGCACGACCAATTGCGGTTCTCAGTCCAGCCACAACAGAGGAAGTATCCGCAATCGCCAAAGTATGCACCAAATACAAAGTTCCCATGGTGCCATTCGGCGCCGGATCAAGCGTTGAAGGGAACTTTGCAGCTCCTCACTCGGGCGTCTGCATTGACCTGTCGCGGATGAATAAGGTCATTGAGCTGTACGAGCAGGACATGAATGTGACGGTTCAAGCAGGTGTACGGTGGACGGATCTAAACGAGGAGATCAAGTCTACTGGGCTGTTTTTGCCCATGGACCCTAGTCCTACTGCGTATGTGGGCGGTATGGTCGCGACAAATTGCAGTGGCACGAATGCGATGCGCTACGGGACGATGAAGGACTGGGTGGTCAACCTCACTGTCGTGCTTCCGGACGGAACAGTGATCAAGACGAAACGGCGACCGCGCAAGTCTTCGGCCGGCTATAACCTGAACGCGCTTTTTACTGGATCGGAAGGGACTTTGGGAATCATCACGGAGGCGACGCTCAAGCTTGCTATCATTCCCGAAGACAGCAGCGTTGGGATTGCTACCTTCCCCACGGTCGGTGACGCAACGGCTGCAGCATCGAAGTTGATTCGGGACGGGGTTCCTCTCGCGGCATTGGAATTCATGGACGACGTGCAGATGAAGATCATCAACCAGAACGGTGGCGCAGGTGGGAGGTTTTGGTCGGAGGAGCCGACCTTCTTTTTGAAGTAAGAC